CCACCTTTTCAATTAAAAAAAAAATCTTAGTGTGCTCTGCCACTATGCCAGTTCTTCAAACATATTTACTTATTTTTAAAAAGATTTATTTATTTGAAAGCCAGCATTACAGAGAGGGTGAGAGGGAGAGCTGGATCTTCCATTTGCTGCTTCACTCCCCAAATAGCTACAATGGCTGGGCTTGAGTCAATCCAAAGTCAGGAGCTCAGAACTTCTTCCAAGCGGCTAGAGGGTCCCAAGCACTAGGACCACACTCTACTGTTTCCCAGATATATTAGCAGGAAGCTCAAATTGGAAGTGGGGCAACCAGTTCTTGAACTGGGTCTTATGGATCCTGTATTGGGTCTCAAGAGCAGGGCCCCCACTTATCTAGACACAGGGTGGTACTGGCATTTGGCGTTCTCCTCTGGTGGTGCCAACATGCTATCTGGGAGGGCTGTCTGTATGCTCTGGAAATGGCCTTGGCTAGCTCCGCTTGCTTCTTCTTGCTCCCTTTCTGCATCTGTCAGGGTCTTCTGAATAAATTTTTTTTTTCCTTGCCTAGATCAGCCAGTGAATTTCAAGGATATGCAAATAAGAATTCTGATTGATACATTTTTTTCCCTCTTTCTCCCCAGGGGTGGGGGCAGGGAATAATTTCATGAAGCTGGAGACCAAATTTACTTGTTTACCTGCCCGTAGAGCAGTAACTGGCCTGCATAGGCATTTTGGTGTCAGACCTTGATAAAGCATTGCTTCAGTTGCAAGGGATTTTGTCAGGACTGGGGTCCTCCATGATGGTAGCCACGAAACTGCTTGATCCCACATGGGTCTCAGACAAACACTGTGATGTTCAGGGCTGCCATTCCAGAAGGTTCTGTCACAGGTCACAGATACAAGCTGTGTTGTGCTGCTGCCTTACCTGGCGGGATGCGGTATTCCTGAAAGTGGCAGTGTTCCTGATAGTTATGGGTGGACCTTGAAGCCATGGGTGGGGGGAGGGGTCCTGTCTGCACTGGGGATGTAATCGGGATTCGGATGTCTACCTATGGATGGGGACAGAGAAGACCCAGAGGTCCTAAGTGATGGGGTTGGGAGGTCTGACCTCTTCATTCCCCCATCTACTCCTACCCTTGTCTCTTGCGTGCCTGCACAGGTCCCTCAGGAGATGAAAGAGGCCCTCAAAAGCAGGCCTTTAATCAAACAACAAAAATTTTTTTTTCATTTCTGTAGCATTTAATTAGTCAAAACGCTGCTAGAACCCACCCTGACCTAAGAGGAATAGACAGAGATGCCACTTGTCAATGACAGAAAAATCAGAAGATTACAGCAACCTATAGTCTGCCAGTTTTAGTCTACTCTCAGGGCATGGATTATCCAGCAAAAATCATCCTGTTACCCAAACACAAATAGGATCCGATTCTATAATTTCAGCATCTGAATGGGGGTGGATGTAGTTTCTAGAGCATAGCTCGTTTTTCTTTTTCTTCTTTCTTTCTTTCTTTCTCTCTCTCTTTCTTCTTCTTCTTTTTTTTTTTTAAATAATCTTTACATAGTTGATTAGGGCACAAAGCCTGGGTTCAAGAGGCTTCGTCCTTCGTGCTGAGTATGCCGGAAAGGGATCTCTTGGGAGTAAGGCGTGCCCAGCCTCATCCTGCTGCCAATGTCGTGCGGTGGGTAGGACCAGGGGAGTGTGACCTTGGTGTCTGGGTGGAGAGAACTTTCAGCAGCCTGTTGGCTGCTGGGAGCACCAGGTTTGGGTCGGACTGCATGCTTTGGGCCCTGGCTCCAGCCACTGCTGCCACGTGGTGAGCTGGGCCCTGGGTCTGCCTGGACTCAAGAGGCTTCTCCCTTTCTGGTGAGTATGCTGGGTGTGGCTCTCTTGGGAACAAGGTGGGCCCAGGTTCCACCTGCTGCCAACATCATGCGGTGGATTGGACCAAGGGAATACAAGGGAGTACAACCTTTTTTTTTTTTACTTTTCTTTTTTGGCTTTTTTTTTCTGAGTTTCCCGGAGCCTAGGAGAAGGGGATGCCATAGCGGGGGCGGGGGGGGGTACTTGCCGAGAAGTTGAACATGAGAAGATCAAAACATGATCAAAACCGCATGGAGCTGGCTCTGACAAACCCAACCACAAAGCAGGGACAGCCTCAATCGTCTTGAGAACTGGCTGTGCTCCAGACTGAGGGGGTGAGTGGGTGGTGGGTGCACAGTATGAAAGGGTCATGTTCAAGTCCATCTTTTCTTAATCAAATAAGTATTGCACATTATGCCAATTCCCCATGCTGAGCAGCTCTGGCAATGGAAACAGACAGACTCAATCCCTTCCCTGGAGTTCTCTCAAACAGGCAGTTGGGAGCAGGAATGCTCTCTGAGCACAAATGTGTCAGTTACTTTCACAGGCCTGCAGGATAGAAGGCATCACTTACCCAAAGCTTTGAACTTCTTCTTCTTTTAAAGATTTACTTATTTTTATTGCAAAGTCAGATATATATATATATATATATATATATATAGAGAGAGAGAGAGAGAGAGAGAGAGAGAGAGAGAGGAGGAGAGACAGAGAGAAAGATCTTCCGTCCAATGATTCACTCCCCGAGTGACCATAATGGCCAGAGCTGTACTGATATGAAGCCAGGAACCAGGAGCTCTTTTGGATCTCCCACGCAAGTGCAGGGTCCTAAGGCTTTGGGCCATCCTCAACTGCTTTCCCAGGCCACAAGCAGGGAGCTGGATGGGAAGTGGCGCTGCCTGGATTAGAATCAACGCCCATATGGAATCCAGCGCATGCAAGGCAAGGACTTTAGCTGTTAGGCTACTGTGCTGGGCCTGAAGCACACGTACCATGTGTCCTCGATAGGAGAGTGTATATCCTAAGTCTGGCAACAAGACTCTGATACCCCAATTGGGGAACTAAGGAATTCATGCCACCACCTCACAGTGTTGCCAGCTTCGTCAGTTGTCCGAGGTAGGCAGGTGTATTCCTGTCCAGGTAGTATTCGGGGTAAATGAAGACACGATCCCTGGCAGTGAATCACCAGGAAGCACAAAGTTAGCCAGATGGAGTCACGATATTGAGAACTTAAGTGGGATTAGACAAGCCTCCAACTGCTGTGCTTTTTGAAGCACCTGGCAGTGAGATTAGGGGGGGCGTGTAAATAAGTGCCCAATTGGCTAGGGTTGGGTGGCCAAAAAAAAAAAAAAAAAAAAGGATGGGGAAAAGCTGTAGTGGAAGGTAAGGACAGGGAGGGTGGCAGGCTTTTTCCTTTTGAGGCAGCAGTGCTCAACCTCTTAAAATTCCTCCAGATTCTCCTTTCCCTAGGGACGAGCAGACAACTGCTGCTCTAAGGCAGTTCATTAGCTCCTAGATTTTTTTTCGCTCTCTTCCTTGTCCCCTCTGTCTCCAGAGGTGGTTCCTGGTGCCCCAGGAAGTATGAAACCTCTGGGTTTGCACTGTGTTGAGTCTGTGCAAATGCTGGGGGTTCATCAGGAGATGTAGATGTTCAGGAGCCATGATTTGCAGGGATGGACTTTGAAGACTCAAGTTCCTGCCTGCCAGCTGACAGATGGGGGAATGGAGGCCTCTGGGTGGGGAATAAGGAAGGAACTGGCTCCAACTCATGTGGTGGTGGGGGCAGAGGTAGAATTGTGACTCTCAGGCCCAGGTGGTTGAGTTCCTGACTTGCCCTTCCAGAGCAGTGCCATGGAGCCAGTGTGCAGGGGCCTCTGTTCTGATGGTGCTTTTCTCAGCTCCTCCCAGCCTCTCCCTCCGCCTGTTGGGCTTCTACTGTATACCTGCCTGCAGGCCCGGAAGGAGGCTTTGGGCTTGCTTGTCTGACAAGCTGACTTCCCCTTGGTTTGACTGAGAACTGAGAAGGATTCAAGATTAATTGCTCCCACCCTCACCCCCACCCCATCATATATGTCTGACTCCTGCCCGCTGGGCTCATGGTCCAGAATCCACAGCTCAGCAGGCTCAGCAGGCTGGAACTGCAGGGTTGACTGACTTGATGGTAATTTGATGGCAGGGTGGGTGGAGAATGAGTAGGTGGGTAGAGGGGGATTCAACGGATGCCAGGGAAGCCACATGGAAGGTGGCATGGACACATGAATGGATGGGTCATTTTCCTAGGCAGCAGAGCCAAACTTGCCAGCCGTAGCAGCTGTTCTTGATTTTTCTTCTAAGGGTCATTTGGATATTTGTACCATCATTTGCAAGGCCATAAAAATGCCAACTTTCAAAAAATAAAAACACTCTGCTGCAGATTTATTGAGTCTCAAGTCATGCCTGCAGTTTCTTGGCAGGGGCAGATCCAGTGATTTCATGGGTCTTTCATGGCTTGCAGACCTTAAAAGTCCCTCAACCCCTGCCGAGATCTCTGCCCCCTCACGGTCCCCAGTTCATAGGATCTGGTAGGTGACAACTGTCCCCCAACCCTTTGGGACAACCTGATCCCTGAGGTACCAGGAAGTGTTGAGCACCTGCTGTGGGGAGCCACAGACTGGGAGGCATGACCGCCTTCAGTGACAGAGAACTGCCCACAGGTTAGTGTTGCAGAATTGTGGAGTAAGGTGGCTATGAGGGGATATGAGGTAGGGCTGTAAGTGGGGGGTCTGGTGGAGAGAACCTGAGGGTGTTAGGTGGAGGCTGGCTTGGAAGAGGCTCAGACTGTGGTGTGGGAAACGGGTCTTGCCACTCCACCTGCCCCCTTTCTAGTCCTACCCTCCTGGACAGACAACAGACAGACAGATGAGGCAGTGCCAGGTGGTGGCTTTATTAGGAGCATTGCATTCTGGGTGAGAAGAAGCTGTGCCCTCACTCTCGCTCATATTCACATTTCTGTTCACGCTCACACTCACATTGGCACTCCAGGGCTGGCCCCAGCCAGCTCAGGGCCCTGTGCAGGGGAGCTGCTGGCCTGCTTTTCCTTCCTGGTCCTTGGTGCCATGGGCTGTGGTGATTCACACCCCTCACTCAGACGCAGGGCTCTCTCTGGCGCTGTTAGGGGCTAACTGCTCTGCTACTTGCCCTGGGAGAGGAGAAAGAGGCAGGGTCAGGGGCTGGAAGCCAAGGCTGAGGCTAGGAGGCATGAGGCAAAAGGCAGGTCTGGGGAGGGCCAGGCTTGCCTTGGTGGAGATCCTCTCCAGTCTCCGAATGATGCGGCTCACCCAGGGCTTGTTTGGGGGTGCACAGAGCTGGAACCCCCTCAGGGTGGTGAACCTGGAGGCAGAGAAGGGAGCCGTGGAACCAACTTCCTGGAAGGCTCTACCTGGAGGGGCAGCGGTTGGGGACCCCACCCTGATAGGTGTTGCAGGGACTTCCTTGAAGGGGTTGCTCTTGGCAAGGAGAAGAGGGATCAGAGAATGGGGTGAAGGGGTTCACCAGGGGCCGTAGGGGAAGGTGAGGCTGGACTCACACCACGGCAGGCACTTGGCAACCATCGGTGATGAGGAGGTAGCGGAAGGATCTCACGATGTTCGAGGGGATGGGGCGCTGGGTCACAGACAGGCAGCAGTCTTCGGCATCGTTAGCACCACCCAGAGCTGGTGCTGGGATGCAAAAGAGAGGATGTTAGGACACAGGGGCCATGGTAATGGGTGTGTGGAGAGGGCATGACTGACTGGGATTAAGGACACGTGTGTGTGTGCACGTGTATGCGCACACCCATGCACATGTGCATGCATTGGGGGGATTGGAGGTTGGCCTGATATTCAGCCAGAGTACACCATTATCATCATACTGTGTGGCAAAATAGACTGTGAACCGTCTATACTATTTGACCAGTAACTGCCACCTGGGTCCACAATGCTTTCCTGCTGCCTACATCACCCAAACCTCTCTCCCCATAGCCCGACAAAGAGCAAGTTAATGGTGGTTGCAGTGCTGGATAATGAGCTGTTTTAGAGGCCTGATGTTGCAACTATTGGCCGTCTCCCAGTCTCTCTGACCTTCAGCAAACATTACTTTGTTCTCTTCTACCTAGGAAACTGAGGCAACAGGCTACAGAACAGGCAGAGGGAGAGCAGCCACAGGCTCCTGGGGTACACCAAGAGATGGGACCACACTGGAACTTGGTGCAGGTAACCCACACTTCCAGGTACACATACAAGGCACAGGGAAGCCACAGGTCCACTGATGCATGCCTACGTAAGTTCCTGCCTTACACCCAAATGCCAACCAGTCTGACTTGGGCACTGCCACTGCTCCCCCTACCCTCCTACTCCTTTCCATCTTACCTGGGGAAGTCCAGAGAACCAGCAGGCTGAGGGCCAGGAGTTGGGGGGCTGTGCCAGAGGCCATGGAGGGTAAACCGTGTGATGGAGCAGGTGTGCGTTTGCAGGAGCCTGGGAGGCAGAGGAGGTTCAGGCTGGCAGAGCAGTAGGGAGCAGGGGAAGCCGATAGCAAGGGTAGGGATCCGGAGAGAGCCAGCAGTTGGTGTGAGTGCTTGTGCAAGGCTGTATCTGCCTGCTATTTATGCCATGAGCTTTCACTTTCTCTGTCTGAAATCCCCTTCTCATCCATGGATTCTCCCTATGCCCCCTCTTTTTTTTTTGGCAGACTTGCATTCCACTTGCCCTCTTCTCCCCTCTTCTGTTTTCATTGGCTTCAGTTCTGACAGCCTAAGCCGACTGCTGTCTGACCAAGAAGTGTGGACTGTGTCCCCACTGGTGACAATGGCCTCACCCACCATAAGTGCTGGGCACACTGGAGGAGGTAGAATGGAACTGCACACTGATCCCTAGGTTCAATTTCCTCCCCACTCACTGGTGCTTCTCTTCTTTGGAGGCTTGGGATGAAGGCATTTCCTCTGTGCCCCAGGAATTTGCCCCAGGACAAATACAAAAATTTTCTTTGACAACCATGAGAGCCAGTGTGGTCTCTCCAGATTGTCACATCCCCTGCCCATCCACCATTAGGCAGCCAGTTGCTCCATGGGGATGAAGAGAGCTGAAAGGGAAAGTTTCCAGACCCCAGGATGTTCCCACATCTGAGGCCCCAGGGTTTCACCTGGCCTCAGCAAGAAGCTACCTACCACTGTAGGTAGCTCTCCTCTTCCCACACCTGGGCTACAGGATTAGCTGTCTGGAGCCTGCCAGTCCATTTCATCTCCCCGTCTCCCAACCCTGGGAACCAAGAGGGGATTTCTAAGGAGACAGGCTAGCCAGCTCAGATTCAGACAAATCTCCAAATTTCAAGGAATTGACAGATGGGGGGAGGGGACGAGCAATTTCCCACCCTTACGAGAAAGATCGGAAGAGAAAAACTCAAATGAGAAGTTAATAAATGGGACATTTTAACTTCCCCCCTCAGGCCCTGGACTCTCTTTGGGGTGGGAGAAAAGTGTTTGGACACTTACCAGTTTGCAACTCCCTTTTATTCTCTGTTAATGATAACTCTGATTACTCTGTGCTACACTCTGTATCAAAGACTTTGCCATCATAACCTGCCTTAACTTTGCCAACAATGTTGTGAAGTCCTTTTATTATTATTTTCATCATATGATCTCAGCCTTGCACATAGGCACAAGGCTGTCTGCCTCATCAGGGCTATTGCGTGATCTGAACCTGGTGCCTTTTGCTTTGAGATTTGCACTCTTTGCAATGGTCCACATGTTTGTCTGCCACCAGTCTGTTGACCATAGCTGAGAGCACAGCACCCGGCCCAGAGGACGAAAATGTACAGATAATGGGTCCTTGGTTGGGGTTCAGAGCGCACCACTTACTAGCTTGTGTGATCAGGTGAATGTTAGCCAGTCTCTGTAAACCAGGAATGGTAGTAGAGCTACTTCTTGGGATTCAGTGAGATTCTCTAAGGAATATGGTTGCCTTAGAGACTTGCATATATAAGCACTCATTCATATTAACCAGGAGTGAGTGTTTGGCCTAGGGGTTAAGACACCAGGGAAAGTGCCTGTGTTCTACATTGGAGTGCCTGGGTTCAACTCCCAGTTCTGGCACCTGATTCTAGCTTCTTGCTAATTTGGACTCTAGGAGTCAGTGATGAAGGCTCAGCAAGTTGTGAGACCAGGATTGAGTTCCAGGTTCCTGGCTTCAGGAGCTCCTTTCCTACATATAGTTGTCAGCATCTGTGGGTTGAGCCAGCAGGTGGGAACTGTGTCTCCCCAATACAAAAAAATTTAAAGTTAACTGTTATTATTAACCAACACTTTCGTTCAGATATCCGTCCATTAAATCACATGTGCAGTCATCTTTGCATCGATCTAGCCGTTTTTCTCTTTCTGGTTGTTGTGATTATTCTCTGTACTAACCCCACACTGATTTACTAACACCATTCTCTGACCTGGAAGGCTGGATGATCAATTCCTACAGATTGCATTACCCAGGATCCCTTGCCCCTGGGATGTAGCAGCTAGAGATCCATAATGGGAGGAGAGAGATGCTGGGGTGTTTACGGCCCGACTCCTTGGTCTTGCTGCACTCTGATAGTGAGTAACACTATCAGCTGTTCTTTAACTGCAGCCATTAGACAGCAGCATCAGAATGCTCTGGGCACTTATTAGAAATGCGTATTCTCAGACAGACTCTAGACTCAGACCTTGGGGATGAGGGCCGGCAAACTCAGGTTTTTTTTTTTTTTAAAGACTTACTTGTTTTTATTGGGAAGGTAAGCTGACAGAGAGAAGGATAGACAGGGAGAGAGAGAGAGAGAGAGAGAGAGAGAGAGAGAGAGAAAATCTTCCAACTTCTGGTTTACTCGCTAGATGGTCATATTGACCAGGACTCCATCAGCTGGAGCTGAGCCCATCTGAACCCAGGAGCCAAGAGTCTCTTCTTGGTCTCCCACAAGAGTGCGGGGTCCCAAGGCTTTGGACCATCCACCACTGCTTTCTCAGGCCACATGTAGGGAACTGGATGGGGAGTGAAACAGCTAGGACATGAATTGGTGCTCACATGGGATGCAGATATTGCAAGGTGGAGGATTAGCCAATTGAGCCATCGTGCTGGGCCCCAAATTCATTTTTTTTTTTTTAAATTTTAGTTGGAAAGTCAGATATGCAGAGAGGAGGAGAAACAGAAGAAAGATCTTCTGATGATTCACTCTCCCAGTGACTGCAATGGCCAGAGCTGAGCCAATCTGAAGCCAGGAGCCAGGACCTTCTTCCGGGTCTCCCACATGAGTACAGGATCCCAAGGCTTTGGGTCATTCACAACTGCTTTCCCAGGCCACAAGCAAGGAGTTGGATAGGAAGCGGAGCTGCCAGGATTAAAACCGGTGCCCATATGGGATCCTGACATGTTCAAGGTGAGGACTTTAGCTGCAAGGCCACAGCGCTGGGTCCCAAAACTCATTTCGTTTTAAAAGACTTATTTATTTTTATTTGGAAGGCAAGAGTTACAGCAAGAAAAAGAGAGACAGAGAGGAAGAGAGAGAGAGAGAGAGATATCTTCTCACGGCTGGCTCACTACCCAAATGGCTGCAATGACTGTGAGCTGGACTGGTTGTGTAAACCAGCAACCAGGTTCTTCTTCTAGGTCTCCTACGTGAGTATAGTGCCCCACGGACTTGAGCCATCCTCTGTTGTTTTCCTAAGTCATAAACAGGGTGCTGGATTGGAAGTGGAGCAGCCAAACATGAACATTGATGGTATGGGATTCTGACACTGCAAGGGAGAGGCCTAATCTGTTATGTCACAGTACTGGCCCCAACATCCTCAATTTTAACACATCTTCCAGGTGACTCTGATGTAAGCTAAAGTTTGAGACTCATGTTTGTTGTTTTCAGGTCTTTGGGGGCTTCCTCCTCTAAATGGGTATTTGAGCTAAGCTTCTCTTGCCCCTTAAGGCCTTGGAGTGATTCTGGTGTCTCTGTGACTGCTGAATTTAGGGGTCTCATCATCTGGTGATAGTTCCTTAATCCTGACCACACCTCTCCCGTACTGTCTGTTTATGAAAATCTTTTTGGTTCAATATTTTGAGTGAGTATGATATTGTGCAATAGGTGTATTTTTTTTTCTCTGTCCTTATTTCCTGATATATAGCTCATAAAATCCTCCTATGCTCTAGGATGATAAGAGTAACTTTTGTAAGTTTAAGATGCTGGTAGTGGAAGTGTCTGGAAATGGCTTGGGAGCTATAGGCATCTCCCATGTCTGATCCTATGCCATGTTCCCACCCGGCTGTTTATCTGATTCCTTTGTGATTGTAAGTAAAGCATTCTGGGAGTTGAAGGAGCTACCCTAGCGAATTAATTGAACCTGAGGTAGTGGGTGGGCAAATCCTATTTATAGTTGGCAGCACAAGTCATAGCCTGCGCTGTTAACTGGCATCTGAATAGGGGGCCAGGAGGCAGTCTTGCAGGATGGAGCCCTTAACCTGCAGGGCTGGATGCTGTCTCCAGGTTGATAATGTTGGAATGAAATTGAATTAGAGGACTCTGCTAGTGTCTGGTGAAGACTCATCTGTTAGAAAATTTGTGAGTGGACAGAAATCCCCATGCACGATGTACCAAGTGATGAGTAGAAACAAAACTTTTTCCTATAGCTTTACAGTACATCATCTGTTCTCTGTCAGGATCCTCATTGGTACAGTACACAGTACCAGAGGAGATTCCGGGAAAGGGATTCCCAAAATGGAATCCTGGGATTGTGTCCTTCAAACTCTTGTTGAGTACATGGAGAGAGGACACAAGTAGCCGGGAGAATGTAAAACCTGTGACCTGTGAGGCCCAGGATGGGATGCTGGAGAATGAAGCAATCAAAGCTCAAGTGCCCAAGGCACTTCATCCTTACAATCAGAAGTAGTTGCAGTGACCAGGCGTTGGGGTAGGCTGCCTGTTCCTGATTATGCTAGCCACATGACATGAAAAAAAAAGACAAGATTAAGATCTTGAACCTCTAACTCAAGGCATGCATGGAGATCCAGATAATCTCTAAGGATGTTATGAGGACTTTATGCAACCATGTGGCAGGAATGTTTTTTTTTTTTTAAGATTTATTTATTTTTATTGTAAAGTCAGATATAGAGAGGAGGATAGACAGAGGGGAAGATCTTCTGTCTGATGATTCACTCCCCAAGTGACTGCAATGGCTGGTGCTGCGCTGACTCGAAGCCAGGAGCCAGATACTCTTCCGTGTCTCCCATGTGAGTGCAGGGTCTCAAGGCTTTGGGCCGTCCTCAACTGCTTTCCCAGGCCACAAGCAGGGAGCTGGATGGGAAGTGGCGGGGTTGCCAGGATTAGAACTGGCGCCCATATGGGATCCTGTGCATTCAAGGTGAGGACTTTAGCCACTAGGCCACACTGCCCGGCCAGGTAGGTATGGTTTTAAGATTAAACCCAGC